GTTAGTTCATATAGCGGTCATAATTGTCATTATTATGACACAGTAAATCCTCACCAATTTCGGACAATCCATAGCCAACGATGGTCTTTGAACGTGTGGGATGCAATTTTGGGAACCCATATCATTGGGCCATTCCTTTTGACCAGCATCTAACTGGAGCAGTTTATTTAAACTTTTTAACAAACATTCTAGAAGATTTGTTAGGCGGTATTCCTTTAGCTACACTTCAAAGAATGTGGATGCAACATTGATGCAACCTCACAATATCGCTGCGATTCGTCAGTTTTTACATGAAACTTTTCCCAACAGATGGATTGGGTGTGGGGGACCAGTGAGTTGGCCTTCGAGGTGTCCAGATATGACAAGTTGCGACTTCTTTTTATGGGGATTTATAAAAAGCAAAGTTTACGTTACATCTCCAACTACCGCGGAAGATATGTGGCAGCGCATTACAGTAGCATTTCAAGAAATTACGCCAGACAAGCTGCCCAATGTTGAACAGTCTTTTAAAAACCGAATTCGTTTGTGTATTAATCAAAATGGAGGACACTTCGGGCAATTGATATAAATCAGCGGTCTAAGTATTCTTCTCCTTGTAATGTTCCGAGTTTGTTTGTTTCGTTTTGCGTTTTGTTTTAGTTGTTAGTGATTTACTTTTGTTGGTCAAACTATTTTTAAACATGCCAGTAAACATTGACACTGTCAGTCCCAGACCTGATAAAATGTGAGAGAAAAGTGGTTTTGCAAGGCCTTTTTGACGCTGTTACATAGCTACTTTTTCGGACTTAAAAAAAAAGCTTTTCAACTCGTAAGATTATTAAATGTAGCACTCAGTATTTCCGAGTCTGAATAACGTACACCTTTTGCCCATAGATGACAAGATAGAGTAATTTATGCCAAAACGAACTGTGAAAACTGCAGGTTTCTAACTCTTACGGTAGAGGGCTATCTAGCCTCAGTTAGAGAGCTGAAATTGTTAATTTTTTTCAAAAACAACTGATTATCTCGAAATCGGTAAGTTTTAAACACCATATACATTTAATATTAACCGAAGAATTCAAAAATGCAATAATATACAGGGTGTTTCATTTAAAATAACAAAGATATGTAGCGCCCACGCGAAATGGAAAACCCTGTAAAGCTAAAAATATTTTCTTTACATGGCCCACATGATTCCAGGCAACTTTTATTACAAATATTTTTTTAATAAATTTTATAGTTGCAGAGTTACAGAAGAACACCTCTTCGGTGGAACACCCTGTATAAAAGAAGAAACCTTTCGTTGACGGAAGTGCATACAGATTAATTTTAAAAAGTACCAGTAACTACAGTGTACACTTTTGTGTACCACTGATGTCAGACTTTACGACGAAATTTGTAAATGTATCCCATCATACTTAAAACACCATGGTTTTTCAGATTGTTATTCCTCAATTCTTATTCGTAAAGCTATTGCTAAATTATACTGAAGATATCGACGGTGAAGAACGGCAGGAACTTGGATGCGACGGCTTACAGAAGCCAATACGCAATACAAGACCACCAGTGTTCCGTCCGTAGTAGTATTACAACCAACGGTAAAATCCAAAATCAATATCAGGGGTACCTAGAAGTTCTGACAGAGAGTTCGCCCTCACAGAACCTAGCCCGAGAACAACAGGGGCAGGTCAAAGATTCCTAGCCAATAAGGGGCACGTTAGGAAAAGTTTTTTTATGACAAACTAGGGTTACTTTGACCTCCCCTATACACTCCCGAGAGTATGCCATATACTTACCAGACACCCTGTATAACGGTATTTCCAAAATTATATTAGTGGTTATGTTCTCCAGTACATCCGCCACTGTTCAATTTCTATGAAGTATTTGCAAAGATACTTTTAGATAATTTTTAGTCTTTAAAACAATGAATACTTTGAATGTTTCGTCTGTTAATTTTAATTGTGACAATTTCTAGAATAATTTATTAGGCGAGTATTAAATGTGATCCGTTCTATAAATTTGTAAGTACATGTAAACTTTTGGAACTATGTAATTGTGAGATGAATACAGTATTTACCTATATTTTGTATATCCTTTATTTAAATTATTTCCAAATTGCAGCGTACATCCTTTTATTTATAAAAACGAGAAATAAAAGATACAATAAATAAGTAAACAAAACTTACTTGTGCCTCAGTCAACTGCAGGGTGTGTGCCAAATAAAGTCGTTCGGGCCCCACCATGTACTGTTGTCTCTCGAATTCGGCTTCCAACCGTTCCAGCTGTTCAGGGGTGAAAATCGTCCTCACTCGCTTGCTTTTACAACTCTTTTTATTTTGTAACACGTTGGATGACACGTGTTTTAAACTTCCCCTTACTGCAAGAGACGTTAGATTTAAATTGTAGATAAAACTATCTATAAAAATTTATAAAAATAATGTTATAGATCTATTACATTGTATTAAATTTCCAAGAATATTTCTCAGGAACTAACAATAATAATAATACTAATAGTATCTTTTCATAATTAATGAAAAATTTATTCTAATATAGAATGTAGTAAGCACTACACCCATTTTAATTGTCATGGGTGAATGCAAAATTGAATGCCCTTTCGACTGATATAAGGTTGTTCATACTTATATCTAACAGTTTTCCAGAAAAATTAGGTTCTTTTCTAAAATCCGAAAAAGTACCTATGTAACAGCGTCAAGAAGGCCTTGTAATTATATTAGTACAAACGGGTCATGTTCTCCGATGAGGCTACTTTTCATAAAAATGGTTTCGTTAATAGTCATAATTGCCATTATTATGACACAGTAAGTCTTCACCAATTCCGGACAATCCATAGCCAACGATGGTCTTTGATCGTGTGGGATGCAATTTTGGGAACCCATATCATTGGGCCATTCTTTTTGACCAGCATCTAACTGGAGCAGTTTATTTAAACTTTTTAACAAACACTCTAGAAGATTCGTTTCGCTACACTTCGAAGAATGTGGATGCAACATTGATGGTGCTCCACCTCACAATACCTCTGCGGTTCGTCAGTTTTTACATGAAACTTTTCCCAACAGATGGATTGGGCGCGGGGGACCAGCGAGTTGGCCTTCAAGGTGTCCGTATATGACAAGTTGCGACTTCTTTTTATGGGGATTTATAAAAAGCAAAGTTTACGTTACATCTCCAACTACCGCGGAAGATATGTGGCAGCGCATTACAGTAGCATTTCAAGAAATTACGCCAGACAAGCTGCCCAATGTTGAACAGTCTTTTAAAAACCGAATTCGTTTGTGTATTAATCAAAATGGAGGACACTTCGGGCAATTGATATAAATCAGCGGTCTAAGTATTCTTCTCCTTGTAGTGTTCCGAGTTTGTTTGTTTCGTTTTGCGTTTTGTTTTAGTTGTTAGTGGTTTACTTTTGTTGGTCAAACTATTTTTAAACATGCCAGTAAACATTGACACTGTCAGTCCCAGACCTGATAAAATGTGAGAGAAAAGTGGTTTTGCAAGGCCTTTTTGACGCTGTTACATAGCTACTTTTTCGGACTTAAAAAAAAAGCTTTTCAACTCGTAAGATTATTAAATGTAGCACTCAGTATTTCCGAGTCTGAATAACGTACACCTTTTGCCCATAGATGACAAGATAGAGTAATTTATGCCAAAACGAACTGTGAAAACTGCAGGTTTCTAACTCTTACGGTAGAGGGCTATCTAGCCTCAGTTAGAGAGCTGAAATTGTTAATTTTTTTCAAAAACAACTGATTATCTCGAAATCGGTAAGTTTTAAACACCATATACATTTAATATTAACCGAAGAATTCAAAAATGCAATAATATACAGGGTGTTTCATTTAAAATAACAAAGATATGTAGCGCCCACGCGAAATGGAAAACCCTGTAAAGCTAAAAATATTTTCTTTACATGGCCCACATGATTCCAGGCAACTTTTATTACAAATATTTTTTTAATAAATTTTATAGTTGCAGAGTTACAGAAGAACACCTCTTCGGTGGAACACCCTGTATAAAAGAAGAAACCTTTCGTTGACGGAAGTGCATACAGATTAATTTTAAAAAGTACCAGTAACTACAGTGTACACTTTTGTGTACCACTGATGTCAGACTTTACGACGAAATTTGTAAATGTATCCCATCATACTTAAAACACCATGGTTTTTCAGATTGTTATTCCTCAATTCTTATTCGTAAAGCTATTGCTAAATTATACTGAAGATATCGACGGTGAAGAACGGCAGGAACTTGGATGCGACAGCTTACAGAAGCCAATACGCAATACAGGACCACCAGTGTTTCGTCCGTAGTAGTATTACAACCAACGGTAAAAACCAAAATCAATATCAGGGGTACCTAGAAGTTCTGACAGAGAGTTCGCCCTCACAGAACCTAGCCCGAGAACAACAGGGGCAGGTCAAAGATTCCTAGCTAAGATTAAGAAAGTACAACGTAAGTCGGTAAATGGCGGCGACCAGGTATATAGACCACGGCACAACAACTCGAAATACCATCCTCCTTTATAATATTGGGGCAGTCCATAAAAACTTTAACAATGTTCTTCTATACCAAGTTAAACAAATTTCACTTTTTCTGAAACTTTTGTGTCTTTTAACATATAATTTGCTGTATTAATATTTACTAATTCTGTTTGCAATTTCTATGATAGCCCTGGTAATCATGTAGCTGTACAATGTTATAGTGAGACCAATGTTGGCCTACGGAGCTGTTGTCTGGTGGCCAAAAACCCAACAAACAGCAGTTAAACAGAAGCTCAGCCAGGTGCAAAGAATAGCTTGCCTAAGCGTTACAGGAGCTATGCGAACAACACCAACGTTAGCAATGGAAATGATGCTATGTCTGTCACCCTTAGATATTTATCTAAAGGAAGTGGCTCTGACAATGCTTTGCTTCAAGAACGTTGATGTTAAACCAAATTTAGGATGTGGAGAAGTCAGATGTCGCCTATGGAATGAGGCCGTCAGGAAGATGCCTCTTCTGCAGGCAGACACTGATAGCATTTCTCCTCAGTTTGTGTTTGACAGACCCTACACAGTACACATCAAAATCTAGAAGGAGACCGCCAGTGTTGGTGTAATTAACATCTTCACTGAGTGGGCTATAGATGTACGTGCCACCGTGATACAAGAAGAACTAGAAGGTATAATCATAGCTGCTGAAGAAATTGCCCATAGGCAGATAACGGGCGAAAGTATTAGAATCTACACAGATAGTAGACAATCAGTACTGATCTTGCATAATCGGAAGATCGGTATGGGAATGCCACCAAGCGCTGGTGGTAGCCGCAGCTACCAACAGCATATCTGTATGCTTTGTTAAGGGACACGACCGGTGCAATGGCAATAAAAAAGCTGACAAGCTAGCTGGGAGGGCACGGGTCGTACTATATTTGGACCCAGTCCCTCTAGGTGCTCTCGCTGTCAGCACTTTTGAAATGATTAAGGAAAACACCCACAAAGAGTTTAGAACACGGTGGGATGAAATAAACAGCTGTCAATTGGCTAAGGAGTTCTTAGGATACGCCAGCAAAAACACAGCCAACAAATACCTGACTATGTCTAGGGTAAGCCTTCGCCTGGTGATGGGTATTCAGACCGGACACTGCTGGCTAAGGAAACACCTATACAATATGAGAAAGTGCGAAATACCCCTCTGTAGAGGTTGTGAGCAGGAAGACGAGACAGTTTTCCATGTACTCTGCGAGTGCACTGGTGTCTCGTCAACGAGACGGTGGCCTTCTATGGTCTACATTAGAGAGATCCCCCTGAGCAACGTCATCACCTTTTTCTCTTTGATAGGCTGGTTGACGGCTCAGGAGAGCTGATCTTTCACTGGGAGGATACACAAATGGTCCAGTGGGGCCTAAGTGCTGTAGCTCGGTATACTAAGCTACCCTCCAAACGATTCTAGATTCCAGTTTCAAGATAGCCCTGTTTGCAAATTGGTCTTTGTCTAGAGTAATATTATAAAAAAATATATTTCTTAGAATAATTGCATTCTTTATTAATTGTAGTATCACATACGTGTTTTTGTATTAATATTTAAACATGCCGCTTTTAATTTTTATTTGTGATACTTCATTATTACTTACTAACTGTTTACTAGATATTGCTGGTGTAATTCAATGCTATTTAGTTAGTTCATATAGCCCATAGAGCAGTTGTTTCGTGCAATATTTTGAGATAGGAATTTTGTCCATGAGATTAGACAACTTTTGAGTAGCAAAATTTTTGAATTTATTTGGATTAGCTTTTAATACCTTTAAAATAAATTGAAAATACTAGAAATACTAGAGCTAATAATAAATTAACAGCTTTCTATAAAATGTGGTAGACAATCCAATGTAATACTCGTAGATATTTGTCCTTAAGACATACATGCAATGGACAACAGTACTAGATAAATCCATTCTCTTAGTGTGCTAATGAACACCACCGAACGAATTTGTTCGCCTTCTTCAGTCGAAAATTGTTGATCATGTATTCGGGAGCATGATTTTTTTAGAATGAATGATATCTTGAAATGAAAATATTAATCTTAATTCCATATGAACGAATATGTTTTCACCGTGTTTATTACAACGTACACATTAAGAGAACGAATTAATTTCTTATTCTTTTTCCGGTTTATGTCTAGGCACCTACCGAAATGACCACCTTGTAGTGATATATGTAATACTTACTGGTTTGTCTGGACGGCGGGCATCCATGTCCAACAGAGTAATGGCCTGTCACGGCTACCGCTGAAGAACTATGCCGATGTACCGGAAGCTGCAACCTGCTGCAACCTGACACCAGGGCTCTATCGGTTCCTCCTGGATGCACAGACAGATTCACCACGCTCAAATCGGACGCCGAATTAGCTAAATCGATACGAACATTTAGTAGCTATACAAGCACAATGCATTTTTTTGTGAAATTAGTGAAGGTAATTTATAGCTCCGTAAAATTACATGTACAAAATAAGAGGAAAATCTCCGTGATCTCTGAGAATATTTTCTAACTGAAGAAGAAAAGTTTAAATTGTACAGAATATTCAAATATTCTAACATTGGATTTATTTGTATAAGTAAAAAGTTTCTTTCTCTTTCACTATCAATTTAGTTTTTTTTAAATGTTCTAAAGTTAATTTATTAAAAACTAATTACATGTAGAGTTAAAATAAAATGAAAAAAATATAGTGACTAAATTCTCAAAAATTCTTTTAAAAAGAATGAAGTATTGAGAACAATGTCGTAAGTAAAAGCTCTGTGAATAACAGTGAACTAGTAGGCGAAAACTCTGGTGTAAGATGGAAATAAGTATATATCTTTAATTTCAAAATTAAAAATTGTGGACTCAACCCAATCTCAAAATTATTGCAGATATATGTAAACATGATATAGATAAACCATGATATAGGTAATACATGAAACCTGTAGTCTTAGAAACCATACTATAAAATAAAATAACTTTTCGCCTGTTAGACTGGTGCAAGAAAGAAATAAATTACATGTCACTTATCCCACTCTTCCCCTACATGTGTTGTTTTTTTTAACCTTATATTTATCCTGCCCATTTTATTTACTTATTTTTGTAAATAATAAGCTCATATATGTCTAATACCTTTGTATATGGAAAAACGTTATGACTATTATTTTCAAACTAAAGTAAATTTTAAAATTAAAATTATATGTAATAAGAGAAATAAGTAACACATGTCCATATACCGTTGTATATGATATTTTGGAAACGGCATTATTATTTATACGGATATTTCACTCAAATTCAGTTACCTATTCAGATAAATGACGGCAAACAAAAATATCTTCTTTTTATGAACAATTTACATATTGGATCTTATACCCTTCTTACATGAGGATTTACAATTCTATATATCGTCTTAAATATTTTTTGTTTCACTACCTACATTTTTCTCAGATTTATGTCAAAAACGGTCAATTTAATTTTAGGAAAAGACATCTCAATTTCATATTAAGTATTAACTTTATTTCAAGAGACATTAATTTTTATTTCAGAATAGTCATTTTCAGAAAACGTTAATTAAACTTCAGAATTTGCAAGTATGATTTCAGAAACGTGAATGATATTTGAAAATGATTTTTCTTATTTTATTTATTATTAGTGCCCTGGAATAATGCAATTTATTTTAAAGGGGGCATTTATATGCGCAATTTTTTGACCAGCATTTTTGAAAATATAAGCAAGTTAGAAAAAGTATCTCTTCACTGTATCAGTTATATAATTTTCTTCAGGGACTAATACAACTGACATACATTCAAAATAAGGAAAAAAAGCATATTTTTACCTCATATGTTTATTTTACATTTCTTGAATTTTGCGCGCCCGTTGAACATACAGAAAATCGCGTACGGTACTATAAACATAATCACACCACGTAGAATTATTGTAGAAAACTATTAACACATGCATTATTCACAATTGCTGAGTATCTTTACAAATTTGCTGGACAAAACAGAAAAGGTACATTTTCTGATATTTACATGTTCTCCGTGATGTTTCAATGCAAAAAAAAATTAGGAAGTTGCTCTAGTTTAGCATTACCCTTCCTCACTTAAAGGTTAACTTGTTCTATAATTGTCTTACTGAAAGTGCAATTTCTTGTCAATAAAACGTTAGTCTTAATGTAGTTTGGCAGCTAAAGAATATAATATCGTAAAAATGAAACGTTAAAAGTACGAATAACTATTCTCCTAACGGTAACGTACTTTAATATATCAACATAATATGTACAATGTTACAACTCTTTAATTAATTGAGAAATTCTGCAATTCCTGTAATTTGAAATTCAAATTAAAATTTATGGGATAAAATTAACTAATTTAAAACCCATTTAATAACTGAAATACATGGATATGAAAAAGATTATGATTTCATGGTAGATGAATTACTTTATCTTTTTAGATTTTAAGATTTTTATTAGTTGCAGAGATGAATCTATCAAACCTATGCAATATTTTAGTAAGTACAATTTTAAAAATGGCGCACGAATACCGTTAAACATACATCATCAATATCATCATATTCGAAAACATATATTTTATAAGCAGTATCAATTATTATTTTCTGTTTCAACTTTTGTGTAAATATATTCTCACCTAAATCCTTACCGTCGTTCTTTAGACCTAGTATCGCGGCAATTGTGAACGATTTATTGTTAGTTGCAGATGAATTACTCCTACATCTGGAATCTTCCTCTTGAGTTAGATCTTCACACAATCCGCCAGATGTGTGGTCATTTTCATTGGTATTCTGGTCATCCAGGTGATGATAACTCAAGAAGTGACTTAGAGAAGTTGGATAGTTATAATGATGTAACATATTTTATGGATGTTTGATTAGATAGATGTATGTACCAAATTTTACTTGCTACATTATGATGACTGAAACAAAACATAAGTTACTCGTATACTGCGAAATGGAATGGAGAATGTTGAAGTGGGTTGACTCTTTAGTGGCTAATCTGACAAATTCGAGTTTTCAAGATGAATAAAGTGGATACATATGGGAAGTGAGTAAAGAAGTATATTTTTTACATTACATTTTTGCAAATTCATCGATATTTAGGAGATACAAAAGTATTTAACATTACAATTTTATTTCAGTTTTGTGAAATTTTAATTCCTAATTGCTATACAATATTTCCAATAATTAATAAAGGTATTAAAAAGAATTATAGAAAGAAAATAAACCAAGTAATACCAAATTTTGTAAATAATGCTAAATCACGAACAAGAAGTGTTATGAATGTTTGGATTATAGGGACTGTATATAACTCTTCAAAGGAAATGGATTAAAACATTTTACAACAAAGATACCTTGACTTAGCAATACATTAAAATTTTACGCTTATTATTACATTACGGTTAGACTGTTTTTTGTTAAATTTGCTGTTGGAGATAAAATCACCGTAGTGATATACTAAGAAGATATCATATTTCCATTTAAATATGAAAACTGGACTGGAAATATTCTTTAAGTCCATAACATATTTTTACTTGTGTATAAGCAATTTTCTGCAAATCCTTTTGCTTAAGAACTTCTGATCCGTCGGAGAAGTTCTAATATATTTTTATTTTCGTATCTGATGATAAAATTTGTATCAAAAATTCTTTATTATAGTATAAAATTTGTTAATAACAGTAAAATTTGTTTGCATACTGCATAATTGGAAAGTGTTAAAGAATTAAACTGGTTAAACAATACTAACACAAAAATTAATATATTTTTTAAAGCTAATTCACAATTAGCTTTAAAAGATTATTTTCACTGTATTTACCAATTCAGTGAAAATAATCTATTTCTTCTTCTTGTTACTGGAATAAATAAGAAAAAGAACTGAACATTGGAATCCTCGCAGATTTTCAATATATTTTTAACAAAATTAATAAGGCATTTTCTGCATTTGAGATACGGTTGTCTACTATTACTAATCACATAAGTAGATATTTAACGAATAAAAAAAGTGTTGACCGTTTCATCAAGAAAATCCCAAGTAATATTCAATAAACTCACCTATACTCATGAGAGAAGTTATTGTACCATTCATGAAAACAGTTTCTGGCACAGAAAAATGAACTTACGGAATTAGTATAAACAATCAAAATAGAACAGTTTTTCCTTTATTGTTTTAAGTATCACTCAAAGAACCGCCTTCACGTGACGCTGGCGGAAGATATTGTCCACTACCTTCACCCACAGGACACAGAGTGTATTAGTGCAAATGAAGCCGTAAGTTTTTAGATCTGAGTTTGTTATCTCCGGCAATAATATAACTGACACAAACAAGGTGTATACTTGTTCTGGTGCTCATCATTTCAGCCCCTCCAACCGCATCAGGGGTGGGATTGCTTTGCGGACACACCCCCACATAGATTTCATCCGACCTCAACCCCTTGGCTTTAGCTCATCCGAATCCACTAATGCTTTTAACCTTTGCAACTGGTTTCACGATTTTGTCGGTCCAGATGAGCCGGCAGCTACTTAGCTGGAAATTAGAACATCACCCAAAGATTGTGATGTATTATTTTTAATTCTAGCACTTCTACTAAAAATATAAATAATTGTAAATACTCACAATAATGTTTCAGTAATAATAGAGCCTAGGTGAAAAACTGAAATCAAATATATTGAAAGAAATTATTTTATGTTTTAGTGACATAACATCATAATCAGCCACTAAAATTGAATAATCTTTTTCTGAATGTTAACGACTGATCTTTCAAATCGCCTTCCTTTAACAATGAAATGGTAAAATATAACCAGAATACTTAGCATAAAACATAAAATACAAAACTAATAATAAAAGTATGTAATTTAAAACAACCTCAACAACTTTTAAAAAATGAATCGATATTGTTTTGGGCGGCAATCTCTTGATACAGAGCCTTCATAAATAATTGCAAGCCACGTGACCAAAAATTTTGTTTGGAACAGTAATTTTATTTCCTTCATTTTAAACTAAGTTTCGGCAAAATTAAAAATTGTTAAAACAAAAAGGTCAAGATCACATTAAAATGCATCCAACATTATGTTTCATCGACTGTGATTGGCGTCATTTTTCACGAAATACTATTCAACCAATCAGCGATCGCATTATTTCAAGCGTTGACGTAACGGTTTGTCATTGTTCATTGTAAACTAACCATTAATATTAGTGACGCTAAAATTTAGGGAATTTTCATTACCAGTACCAATTGTACAACGTTGGATTGCCTAAGCTCGGCAGTAAGGTGGCTTGTAAACATTTATGAAGGGTATGTATAAATAACCACAAATTTGACACTTCAGTTTTCTGCACACCAGTTGATTTGTTTTTGACATCAAGTCAATTAGTTTGGAAGACAGTGAGTTTTAAGGTTTTAGGTTTACTATAACAATTCTAAAATAAATTCTCTAGTTCCTGATTACAGTTAACAATTAACCTACTGTAAATCACCATCTTCAACTTACCTGCGAGTTCTGAAAGTTAATTGATGGCATTGGTTATGTTGTTCTGATGAGTTAGATTGTGATATACAAATTTTACTTTGTAAGTTGTCTATAGTAAGTCCTTGAATATCCCGGTCATTTATATAATCCTATTTACCATCGTCACTCGTTTTTTTCATACAATGAAAAAAATCTTTTCACACAACTGGCGCTCAATCTGAAGCTTTTTGAAAGTTACTTAATGACGTCGATTTACGATGATATAGGCATTTGAATTAAAGGTTCTTGAACTAATAGATTGTACGAAGAGACATATGGACCAAATAAATGTTCAGCACATTTGCCGGATTTCACTCACTTAAAAAGTAAAACTGTTGTATCACAATCACAGCCAGACTCATTAGCAGACTTACTAAAGAATGTCATTAAATAATTTCCTAAATGTTTCATCGCGTGCTACAATATTTTGAAGAAAATTTTCATCTTTGTGTGTAGATAATCATATCCGACATTTACGAGTATTACCTATACCTATTATTTGGTAAGTAGTTTTAGGTTTATTAAAACTTTTATTATTAAGTGGAGGATTGAAATGTCTTTTAGGTGATATTCGCTTCCAAAACACCCTCTTCCAAAATAAAATTGACCAGGTTTTGCCTTGTCGTATGAATTAGTAAGCGGCTTCGTTTTCATTGGCCCTTCCTGTAAATATAATATTTACGTATAATAGAAGATAGGTAACAAAGCTTCTTCAGAGAGGCACTGCCATTAAATAATGAAGCAAAAACTACAGTTTGTTTATTTAATGTTAATTATGGCAAAACGCACATTGATGATGCTATTTATACTATTTTTTATCATCTCAATAAACACTTAAAATTTTCGATTTATAGTTTTTAAGGAGATTGAATTATTATTTTTTAATCCTTTCCGTATAGGTTATCTGCATATTTCAATTAATTCTCTTATTAATTAGAGTTAAATAGTTCTTATCTACGTAAGTTCAGATTTTCATTAAATAATAGAAAACATGACAAATACAAATAAGTCAACTCATCAAATTGTAATATTTTTAACTGATATTACCATTAACCAGTAGTAATTTTTTTAAGGAATACCTAACTGGTAATTCTGGCGAAGGTTAGTAGTGCTAGTATATTTATTTATCGCTGCTACTTAATTATTGTTAGAAAGTATTTGTTTGTGTCATAGTTTTCGTTTTTTTTTCTTTATTTTATGCCACCTGTGAAAAAAATAAAGAAAAAATATTTGATTTTTAATTTTTTTTGTCTACAATATTTTTTTTACCTTCGAAAGTTTGAAATCCCTTTGACTAGTTTAGAATTTTTCAACAAACAATGTCAATTAAAATAAGAACACTAGTAGATAAGAGATTTAATAAATTATTAATCTTTAGTGTCAAAATCAAATGGCTTTAAGAACTAAAAACCAAAAATTGGAATTATATTTCAAGTTTTTCGAAAAGGTATAACTGAAGAGTAAAAAACTTAAATTTACTGCTCAGTTTCTTGGGGATTATAGAGACGACACTAATTGTAACAAGATTTCGCAGCGTTGCCAACTTAACATATCTAGTTACTTACCAAAGTCAGTTTAATATCAAATTTTGTGGTCCTTTTTCTTGTTTTTTTTATGTAAACGTAACGTAAAATTAATTGTATATCACGATATTATATTTACCACAAATACTAATTTTAAATTCAAAAAAAGTCATCTCATCTGCTAAACTACTAACTTTTACCAAGTTATAATAGTATTATTTTGTTTATATAGTTTATTTTGCTAAATAGATTTATTAAAGGTAAGTGAATTGGTGCAATAAGTATTAAACACTAAAAATGTTGACTGAAATATTCAGAGAATATTTCAATCAACACCAAAATATTTTTTTTTAGGTTAGAAAGAATACACAAGGTATATTTTTTTTACCGTGGCAATATTCCTTAATGATTATCTTAATATAGTTAATTTACTTAGGTAAAACAACAATTTGTGTGGTATTAGGAATTAAAAGGTCGATGAAGAAAAAAATGAGAGGGTAGTGCAGATGAATAGATCAGAAGGATCAATAATTGCAGTTTGACAATGATTTCACATTTCACAACAAACAATCAACCCCTGGCTGATAACACCGCTCCATTTTTTTTTTAGGAAAAGTAATATTAAATGCAAATTAAAAGACTTATAATAGTTGGATTTTTATTTAGATTCATTTACAGAAATTCTAGACTTATTGCTATACAAAATGTTTACTAATGAATTTTTCTGATAATAACAGAAAAGCAAATGTATGTAAACAAAAGCAATAATATTTGGTAAAAATTATACAAAATATAAATCAATATAGGTACTCAAGACGTAGTGTAGAT